TTAACTTTTATGGTCAATAAGAAATAAATGTATCCTTTGTGTTCCCAGAGAAGAGATTTGCTTAATTTACTCTTTTCTCTTCATAAATACAATTTTCTGATGCTTTTGTAGTGATAGAGGTTGAAGGATGGGGGCAAAATATGGATATTTTCTTCACCTGGTCATTTTGCATGAAAACTTCTTTACAACTATGCTCAAATGATTTATGCACATATTGTAGGTGTGGGAATAGCAATTATACAGCTGTTCCTACCATTTAACCTGCATCATTCTGAGTGGTCGCTCACTGGTTGCTTAACTTAACATCTGCTGCTTTGGTAGTCCAGTATTCAGGCAGAACGAAACACAGAAAGATAAAACTCCAGTAAGCTTTTTTACTTTGATAAGCAGTGGTGTGTGTGTGTGTGTTTTAAGTCTTAGTTTGCAGTATCCAAAATTATCTTTGTTATATTTTCATTTTTTGGAGAAGCAGAGACACAGAGACAAACAGAGCTGCCAACTGCTGATTCACGCTTCTCAAATAACTCCTAATGACCAGGAGACTGGGCCAGAGACAGGAGCCAGGAACTCCATCCAGGTCACATACATGGGTGGTAGGAGTCCAACTACTTGAACCATCACCTACTGACTCCTATAGACTGCGTTGGCAAGGTGCTGGAATTGGGAACTGGAGCCAGGAATCCAACCCAGGCACTCTAATGTGGGATGTGGCTGTCTCAACTGGCATCCTAACCAACAGGCAAACACCCTCCCACTTTTCATCTTTGAATAATTAGGACATATTTGTCTTTTTTCTGCATTGTTTTCTTACTTAAAAGTTAGACACAGAAAGGAAATATAAATATTTTCCTCTATGTACCTTATTTTTAAAAGGTCCTATTTATTTTACAGTTACTCTTAGCCTCCCAAATAAAGCATTAAAAATACTAGATATTAGTACGTTTTTCACAATATTGGAAAGTTGACAAATCGAGGCCAACAAAATCAAAATACCTATGAAACTCCTGGATCTGTTTAACAAAACTAGTTTAGTTAGTGTGCTCCAGTACTAGATTCAATTGGTTGCTGAACCATTGAAATGTTGACATTTAAGGCAATGCATGGGACCAGAGATTGGTTTCTGCAACCAGTTTTAAATATTCGTGGGGCCGGCATTGTGGCGTAGTAGGCTAAGTCTCTGCAGGCAGCGCCTTCATGTCCTGGCTGCTCCTCTTTTGGTCTAGCTCTCTGTAGTGCAGGAAAGCAGTGGAAGATGGCCCAAGTGCTTGGGGCCCCTGCACGCACGTAGGAGACCTGAGGAAGCTCCTACTCCTGGCTCCTGGCTTCAGATCAGTCTGGCTCTGTCCATTGCAGCCATCTGGGAAGTGAACCAGAAGATGGAAGACCTCTCTCTCTGTCTCTGCTTCTCTCTGTAATTCTGCCTCTCAAATAAATAAAATCTTTAAAATAAATATTGCATCTTTCTTCATAATGGATTCTTTTCTCATCTTTCCTTGATCATTCATTATTTCTGCCTACTTCCTCCTCATCAGACTCCCTGCTGCTCACCAGGGACTCTATCAGGCAATCCACTCTTTCGTTCCAAAACTGTCTTCCTTTCCTCATACTTTGACCAGACCCCTTCCCTTCCCTTTGACCCAGAACTCCCCTCATCTGGAGCTTCAGAATGCTCCACGCAGGGAACGCTAGACTTTCTTTTTCTGCAGCTTCCCAGCATATGCCTCAATTTCCTCTCATCCAGGTCTCCTCAAAGGCTCTCTCTTTATGATTAGCAAAGTCCTTACTTTTGTTTCTGTGCTTTCCTCACAATATCATTTTATGCCCCAGAATTTGCTCTTCTTCCAGAATGCCTCTCTGTGACTCGGGGTAGTCGGTCCAACTCAGGAATCCTGGAGACAGTTACAAGTGGCTCCAGCGCGAGTCTTAAGATTTCTTAGGACCCAGCCTTAGAACTCCCAGAACGTCACTTCTGCAGCCTCTAATGTTAAAGGAAATCCCTAAGGCTAACTAAGAAGAAAGGCATGGGGAAACCAGACTATACCTTTATTTGGCAAAGTAGCAAAGGTTTTCAGCCATTTTGTAAACATTATAAGAGTGCATTTTAAGAAAAGTATTGTGTCTACTAGGTTCTAAGATCCAAGAACACATGATAATCTGTAATATGATATTTGACAAGTGATGTTTGAATATAACAATATTGAAAATAAAGAAATAGTATTGATTACACATAAAATGCACAATCAATAAAATATTCAAATTTATGACAAAGTCCCTACTAGCCACCTTCCCGAAACATGCTCAGCATTTTCATTTTTCTTTCTTCCTTCCTTCCTTCCTTCCTCTCTCTCTCTCTCTCTCTCTCTCTTTCTATCTTTTTTAACTAGAGACTATAATCTCCTTGGGAGCAGTTTATATTTCATTTTATATCCCTAGCAACTGTCTCAGAGGTTGGCACATGTTGACTTGCAATTCTCTTGCCATGTTACTGAAAGATAATTCTGAATTTTGATTGGAAACATGGGTATGTTTTGTAATTTATTTTAATCCTGAGGCAATTTTATTAGATTTCAAATGATGTCCTATTTTTTTTCTATTTTTTCTGCATGTACAAGAAAAAAACCTCATTTCTTGCTTTCAAAAGTCCTAACAGATCATATATGTTTGTGCCATTAAGATAATTCCTTTTAAAATTTTTTCAATCATTAGAATTACATTTAATGTTTTCATTTTATTAATATTAATTGACTATACTAGGCCAAAGCTATTTTACAGAATTAAAGTATGAAAACATTGCTATGTATTTTTTTAAATATTTTATTTATTTGAAACAGAGTTACAGAGAGAGGTAGAGACAGAGAGAGGTCTTCCATTCGCTGGTTCACTCCCCCAGAAGGCTGCAATGGCCAGAGCTGCGCTGATCCAAAGCCAGGAGCCAGGAGCTTCCTTCAGGTCTCCCACGTGGGTGCAGGAGCCCAAGGACTTGAGCCATCTTCTACTGCTATCCCAGGCCATAGCAGAGAGCTGGATCAGAAGAGGAGCAGCAGGGACTAGAACCGGCGCCCATATGGGATGCCGGCGCTTCAGGCCAGGGCTTTAACCCACTGTGCCACAGTGCTGGCCCCGCTGTGTATTTCCATGACATGCTAACCAAAGGCTTTTCTGTTCCTGACTTGTGGACTTGAAAACGACGACATAAGATGCCTGGAATAGGGGTGGGCATTTGGCACAGTGTTTAAAACGCCTCTTGCGATGTTTGCATCCCATATTGGCATGCCTGGTTCATATCCCAATCATTCTGCTTCAAATCCAGCTTCCTGCCAGTGCACTCTCTGGGAGGCAGCAGATGATGGCTCAAGCGCTTGGGTCCCTGCGACCCATGTGGCAGGCCTAGATTCATTTCTAGGCTCATGGCTTTGACCTGGCTAGCCCTGCCTTAGCTGTTACAGGCATTTCAGTAGTGAACTAGTGAATGGAAGATTCATTCCCTCTTCTCTCTCTCTCTCTCTCTCCCCAAACTCTCTCTTTCTGCCTTTCTAATAAAATGGAAATAAATAAAAATGAAAAAGGATGCTAGAATAATTCACCAAGGTCACTTAAGACAATAGTAGAGCTGAAGAGATTATTATTGTTTCATGATTAATTCTGTCTCCTTCTAGATCTTTCTGGCTGTAGTATCTATCTTTTGTATCTTTTCAACACTAATGAATTTAACAGACGTGCATCTAATACATTAAGTTTATAGACTACAGTCTCTACACTGGACACTCATCATTTATTTTTTACTACTAATTTGTTTTCATTGCTGGCTGTTCTCATAGTCCTTGGTTTTATTTATGTACTTTTCTTAGTTTGTTTTTCTTTGCATACATGCACACAAAAATCACATATATGTGAAACTTTTTTCAATTTCATACTTCATGTTCCCTCACTGTTGCCTTCTAAGAACTAGGAAGTAACTTAGCTTTCTGCTCATTCTTTCTTTTCATTGGCAACCATTTTGTTTCACTGTTTTTGAAGTGATGTAGTAAAAGAAAAATGGCTGCCTTTTGTTTATTTCCTTGTACATTAGCGTGATGACATCATCAAAGATATTAACTTGAACGTATGTATCTTTAAGAGCCCAAAGGTATATTATAAGCAAGGAACACTTTGTTTTTCTTTATCTTTTAATGCCCTAAGGTTTTGTATTTTTAGCATAGCTATTGTGTGCAAAGGGAAAAATGAAACAAACATATTGGAACAAATGCATGAAAATGGTATCATTTAAAACATATCTGAATATTTCTATCAAGGTTAAGAAAAACCAACCAAAAGATATTTAAGACATGAAATATTCTTGATCAAGGCTAATCCTACAAATAATATTACAAAGAATACTGTAAAAGCATTATATTTAAAGATTGAGCTGTTTAACTATACTGCATTTTCTGGTTAAAATCATTTTTAAAAATGTAAATTGACCTAAAAAAACTTTTAAGGTATAATGTTTTTATCCAGAAAGTGATTTCTTATGAACAGAAGAGTTAAATACATATATTATGCATATAATATATATATAATCTTTTAAAGATTAACTACATCATTACTTACAAGTACTATTAAAATACACTATAAATCTAACTCCATAGAAAATTTATTTTCTAATTTTTATTTATGATGCTTCTGACTTTTCCTTCTGTGTTCTTTGTTGCACTTTGCATCTATGTATAGAATTCTCTCTGAGAATCACCAGCAACAAGCTTTCAAATACCAACTCAATGTGGGAAGATTATTAAAAGGAAGAAAAGATATAGATTTTTTTCATCCAATTCCAATAACTAAATATTTAGTTTTTTATTTCAAAATGCACATTCTGTTTTCAATTTTTGAGAAATAATTTTTGGTAATTAGAAAATATTTTTATAAAAATAATCAGTGTACACACAGTGTATATATATATATTCATATATAAAATGTATAAATGCAATGCTTATGCAGCAAAAAATTCCTATAAATATTGAGTAGTTATCTCTGAAACTACTTGTTAGCACTGAAATCAGATAAGGTAAACCATATGCTTTATTGAGGTAGGCTGTCTAAAATAAGTTACTGCAATTTTAAGAATTAATATGAACCATATGTCCTGTAGATCTTTAAATTGAAATCTTCATTGTTCTTTTAACTCAGCTGTTCTAGGAATATGTCATCTTTTGAGAAGATAAATTAATCATCTACCTCATTTATATACATCAATAAAAATGACTCATCCTCCCATCTACCTTATCAAAAGTAATTAGGATACATATTTTAACTCATATACAGAATCTTTTAATGATTGAAATTACAAATGCAGGGAGTTTGATGGAAACAGCACTTATCCTTTTAGGAGAAATCTTCAAGAAAAAGACACATCAGCAATCTAAAGGTTAAATTATATTGCCAAATCATTCATTACAGAATGACTTTTTAATGACATTTTTACAAAATACTTCCAGATAGCATAAGGCAGAAAATGGCTTTTGACAAGTTCCCCTTCCTTTCTTAAATTTTTCAGCCTCTTATTAAGATAAAATGTAGTTAACTTCTTTTGAATGCTTGCTCAAACATTTTCTATAATAATAACAAAAAAAAAAAAATCCTGTGAAGGGATTTCCATAAGTTGTGCTGCATTAATGACTTAGAGCAGCTTCCTAATCTGTTATTCCTTCCTCCTAGTAGACCTCAGCTGATAAAAATATCCATAGACACAGTGAAGTCAGTGGCACGCCTGGCTTTCTCAGACAAAACTCCATGTGATCACATATAGGCAGCCTCAGAGAGGCTGACGCCGTGCAGCAAGCAGTAGGTAATGAGTCTTTGTGCAGAGTGAAGCTCTTGTCGCTGAACAATAAAGCATATGGTACCAGCAATAAAACACAGGGCTGGGAAATTTCAGAAGATTCCGCTGAACCAGGAAGAACTGTGCCTTCTGTGATGCTGACACATAATATAAAATGATAATCCATTTATTTTGGATTCTAATGAATAAGGAGTGCATGGACTAAGACTTCAGCTATTTGAACAGGTCGGTGATTTTATAAATTACTCCAACACTTCCGTATATTTGATTGGATTTAAATGAAGATGGGCTGATGTGTGTTTTGCTTTAAACAAAAACTTTGTAAGATATTTGTAGTGTGCAATATGATAGATGAACTTGAATTGACCCAATGTGATTAAATTGTTAATGTAGTCAGATACAAAAGAGAAATGTTGGTATCACTATATTAAACTTAAAAGTTATTTATTCTATTTAAAGATGTATGAGTAAGAAAAATCATCCAATAATTTTAATGTTCTATGTGCATAAAAATAATATAAAATAGAATAGTACTAACAAAATACTCAAATGAAAAGCTTCAAATTTATTTTTCCAGTATTAAAATATTCTGGATTGTGATAGTTTACATGTCTTATAATTACATGCTATATCATTCACAATTTATTAATGACTTTCAGTATATTGCAATAGGAAGGTTTGAGATATTTAATTAAATAAAAAATTTTAAAACAAGAAAATTTTTGAAATGTTAATAGTGCTATTTGTTGGGAATTTATACTTTAGCAAGCCATATCTATATTCATTTTGTATGCTTTTAATTTTTCATTTCTATTTCTTGACAATGGAATCATTGCATAAAATCTTTTATCTTGTAGGTATTATTCATATGGAGAAAAACAAATGAGCTTAATTTAAAAAATGAAGAGATTAGTTATGTGATGATGCATATTTCCATTTGTTCACCATTTAGAAAAGAATATCTGCCTTTATGTATATTTATAAAAATATGTATACACCTGACCTTCTTGTATCTAGAAAACGGCCACTTTTTAGGTTTGTGAGCAATAGAGAAGTTTATGCTTCAAACATAGAGGTTGCTGTGTAGGAAGACAAGGGAAGAAATAACTCTAGCAAATAATAGCACAACATTGAACAGCTTTGCCAAAGACAGACAAGCGTTACTGCTGTATGTATCCTTAGATTTACATGCATAGTTTAACTTTGCTCTTCGCTCTCACCGCTGTATTGTTTTAAAAGCATCCTGGGACCTGAATTTTTTACAATTAATTTTTTGGACACCATTTAGGATGATAGTCGCTAAGACACTGGGGTGCATTTAACATTTTTCAGAATGATTATAGTGACCTCGTGTATTTGTATAGTGACTAATATAAATTTATCCCTGTAAGGTGCTGTTTAACCCACAACAAAAAGAAATACCTGTGTGTGTGATAACACATGCAGTGTGTATTTGAATTGAAAGAAAAAAAGCAAGCTATGTTTCAAAAACAAGAGAAGTTAATGAAAAATTTAAATTGGCCTGCCACACGTATTTAAATGAAGTATTTGACTATTTGGGTTTCCTTGGTTACCATAGTCGCCGCCGACAGCTTCTTTGGGTGGGAGGGGGTAAGTGTGAGAAGAGTACTCTAAAACAAACGTTAACATCGTTTATCCACGAACCTACTTGGGGCAATGCGATGCTGCCAGCCAGGAGAAACCGGCGCCCACTGCCCATCGCTGTTCCTCCTCTCGGGTGATTCGGGCGCCCGGCAGAGCCGCGGTTCCACAGTTCCTTACCCAGCATTCCGTTTCAGCTGCTGGAGCACTGCCTGAGCTTTATGCAAATGAGACCAGCTCCGCGGCTTCGACTGCAGAAGGGGGGCGGGGGGCAGAAGGGAGTTCAAAGGTCACAGGGCTGGTGGAAAGCTGATCAGTTGACTGAAAAAAAATGTGCTGGGCTCCAATGCAGCAGTGTTTTGCTGCAGTTAAGTGGAGTGTGCTTGATTTTGGAGAGTGAAGATTGTACGGCTTCGGTACGGTAGTCCTTTAAACTGCAGGCAGGTATGGTGACATTTCATGATGCGCTTGATTTTATTTCTATTAAAGACACTGGTGAGGATTGGCTGTTTTCATTCATTATGGCAATTGTCAAGGTGTTCCTGGTTTTCCGAGTTTCCTTAACTAGTTTATTTAATTTCCTTCTTAAGCTTTTCTTTATTGAACCATGAATGTTTTGTTCCAGTGGAATAATTTCATATGAGAACAAATTGGGTATGAGCTTCTAAAATAATTATATTTTTGAAAAGTTTTTGATTGCAAAGAGATAGCCTAGTTGAAACATCTATGTGAATAACAAGGCATACAACTTGTACAGGATTTTCACATTTTTGAAGAAACGTATTTTAAATAAGAATTGGATCGTTAGCATAAGAGTCTTTTGAGGTATCTGGAATTAAATGATGGAGTTCTTTTGTTCCTATCCCACACAATCATGAGAACAGTTTTAATAAGTTATATTTCTTTCCATTTTAAGAGAGAGTTTTGTTCTTGAGAGTTTTCAATCAATATTGTTCAACGTCTTATTAGACAAATAATCTCTTTAGGTTAGATCCTTACGTTTTTCTTGGATTTCTCTTTTACTATTAATTGGTGTGGGGGGGCCTTTTTAGACAATGGTGTTTGAACTAGTTACGTTGGACATCCTATGACATTTCTTTCAGCTAACTTGGATTGTAAAGTGGCCCTCCTAAGTGTCACAGGCAGGACAAAGTCTTTTTCCTGGCACTGATCATCACACTTTTGTCAATGTGTGATTACATCATAGTAGTCTGTCCTGCACCAAACAAATGTGTACTCACTTTTATTGTTCATGATGCTTTTTAATTTCTAAAACATTGATTTAGGTAAACTTAACTAAAGCAGAATGATCAATGTGCTTATCCGTATCACTAAAAAATTTAAATATATCAATTCAACAGTTACAATGTTGATGGGAAGAAATGTTATTTTCATTTGCATCAGCTGTGCATCTGTCTACATTACGGGTTGTATGTGTACGAAAATATCTTGGAAAAGATGAAGAGGCGAAATAGCATTTAGTCGTGAAATAACTGCTTTATGCTTTTTATATTTGCATACCATATTTAAAAATGAATTTTATGAAGCTTACATACAAAGAACTGATACATACTGGGGTAAGCTTAATTACTTTCTCTGCGCTGAAAAGTGGGAGTTAATTTTATTATAATGATTAAGATGTGGTACTTTGGCAACAATATCTTTTTTATGAAAACAGTAGGGGTCTTTAAGCAGGATCAAAACAAGAGGATGGCCACTTACAACAGTGAAGGTCAATTATCTCAAATATTTATAAAATTCACTTTGTAGTGGTTATCCAGGGCCAGATTCTCACGCTTTATCACCCAGTGGAGACACGATGACATTTTTTCTGGACCCTAAGATTAATTTATAAAAGGAATTCATCTTTGGTGTGAGCTTTTTAAAAATGCAAAAACTGCCATTTTGGTTTAAACTCTTTCCCCTTTGAAACTTTGAATGATTTCAGCTAAAGAGGGTGCATTTTAAATATATTGCTTCCTTCTTATGTTGGTCAGAATATGCTAGTCTTTGGTCCAAAATGATGTTTGTATATTTTTACTAATATATCTCTATATATTTGTGTATGTGTGTATATATTGTATATGAATATTATATATATGCATTGTAATACCCATTATATATGTTATAGTGCATATAATATATACATACACCCATACATACATTTATATGGTTCATCCAGTTAAATATTTCTTACCAGTTAATCATATTTAATCCAACCATTGTTAACAATTTTTTTTATATTTTCTTTTTGCTCAGTTATTACCTGTAATTTGTTTCTACTTACCTCTGTGTTTGTTCTAGGCAGAAGGAAGGAAAGAACTGAATTTAACATTTATTTAGGTAGTTCAATACCTTGAAGTTTGTAAATAATCACCAACCAGCAAGCACATTCTGAATACAGAAATAAAAACTCAGTGCAGGCAAAGAAGGGGAGCCCATGAAGAATCTTGAAGCAAATGTGATAATAGACAAATGTGAAATAAAGAAAATTGCTGTGCTTCTGTGAGCCACAAGAGAGCTATATATGCCTTGCAACTAATTTATGGCTTTGAATATCCTGGATAATTTATGTCTCTATGCAAATTCACTCAAAACTTTAAAGTCTTTTTTGCATTAGCTTGAACCATACTATTTCCATACAAATCTCAGCAGCATGTATATAAGTAAGTTCCAGTCTGGATATTTAAATGTATATAGAAAGATGTATTTGTGTAAATACAATTCAAATCACATTTGAGAAGTAAATGAGTAAATAAAGTAATCTAAAAATCCTTGGGGATATGCAGTTAGTATACTTAAAGAAACAGTGTTATATCAGACTTCAAAGAAATCTTTAAGGATTTTTCAAAACTGAATTTCCTGCTTCCTGATTACCAATCTGTCTTTGTCATCATTTGAAACTGCAACCATATTGTAGGATTGGAAAAGATTTTAGGGCAAACATGTTGCACTCAGTCTAGCAGCATGGAGCGTAGTCTAAAATTGACAAATAACTGTTGTCATTGCAAAATCACATGTGTAGGATTTATGTTTTATTGTCACTCTATTTGTCTTTCCTCTGAAATATTGGAGTGTGTGAAATAGAACTAAATTATAACATATAGAAGGAAAATGCTCAAAATAATTATTGAGTATTCAAAATCATCATGTTTATTTATTTTAACATGGCATTTTAAGAGAAACGATCAAAACAAACAGTTGCCCTTTTATTGCCTGTTCTAGAATTTAAATCAAATTGTAATAATTTTATTAAAGTGTACAACAAAATTGAAAAGTGATTTTAAAGATCTTATTAGGCTTATAGCAATGCTTCTCTAATATGCTGTATAACATAAACCAATTTTCCAAATAGCTAAAGTTTATAACTTTAAAGACTAGTTTTCAATAATAATAATAATTTCATGAGAGCAAAATACAGTACACATCATTATACCTTCTTGAGTAAAGTGGGAATCAGTTTGGGATTTTCTTTATGGCATACCACTCAGTATTTTCACCCTTAAACTCATTTATTGCAAAAAATAAAACCTCATTTTTCCCATTATCAAATAGCTTCTTACTATCATATGCTTCACATGTATATAATTTTTATTCCTTTTATAATTTTACTCTCCTCTTTT